TTTGAGAGTAACAAAAAATGGCTATGCATGGCCAAAAACGTGTAGGAGTTAAAGACACACCTTTCTGGTATGAGCGAATGGCCAACAGTGATGTGTTCTGCCTGAGTGGAAAGTGAAAACCAGATGATGGGTTTGATCTTCTGTTACTGATGCATCCAGAATAACCTTTATTTTGAAACTTCTAGCTGTGGGTGTTTGTGTGTGTATGGAAATCCCCAATATGAGCTCAGACATATGACAATTCAGAATAAATTATTTACATTTCATTCAGAAGACGTGGCAAGTTTCCAATGTTTCCTTGACACGCAAGGATATACAATAGTGATGCTTTTCAAGCGGCAGCCGAGCAGTCTTGGAGTCGGCTTCATGTGACTCACACGTGAACCTGTGCGTAACCCAGCAACAAAGAGTAAAAAGCAGCACAGAGGCTGAAAGAGAGAAAAGCATGATCCAGACAAAGGTGTCTGGGAAATGGGGACTGTGTCCAGGTGCACTCAACACAGGAGCGCGAGGCTCACGTGGAGCTGTTCCCACAGAGACGTGAGTTGCCGTGGAGACCACCGCACCCCCTGGGGAGATCAGCAAAGTCTATGAGTTGCCAAGAGTTCTGTAACTGAAACAAAAGTAGAAGTATTTCTGGCATAAAAGTAGATGAAGAAGAGAGAAAAGTGTACCTGAACTCATCATGCTTGAGGTGGAAATCTTTGGACACAACTTTGTGCAAATGGAATGACAGCACTGTGTACTGAGCCCACCAGCGAGGAGGGAAGGGACAAGCGGGTGTGGACCAGGATGGCTTTAAAAAGAAAGGTCCATGAGCTGAAGACAGGATGATTCATAATTCAAAAGGAGGAGAAGGAAGAGAAGGAAGAGGAATGGGAGGGGTGGTGACAAAGAAGAGACCGAAGAGGAGGAAGAGGAGGAAGGGGAGGAGGAGGATCTGGTCCAGGAGGAAACAGTACAGAAACATAACTCAAATTGTTCCTGGTGAGATGTTTTCCCAGTGAGGACCTCAGGAGAGTTAAGAGACCTCAAAATAACCTCAGCTAAAATACACCTAACACTTCAAGCAAATGTCAGGTGCTGCTCTAATTTCACTATCTGTTCTAACTCATTTAGTCCGCGTCTCAATCCTATTGAGGGGCACTACTGTTACTCCCATTTTACAGATGAGAAAAGGGAGGTGCACTAAGGTTGCACAGCCTGTAGACGCTTAACCAGGCCTTGAACCCAGGGAGCAGTGTCTCAGAGTTGGTGTGGTCGGCCATTATTCTCATATGCCTCTCAGAAAGGCAGTGTAAGCTATGACAATCTCCACTCACAGTGGATCTAAGCCCTTACAAATTCACCAGTTCATCTTGGTATAACAATTCATGCGTTAGTCTTCCAGTAAGCCCTGGGGCACTCCTCTAGCCTCCTGAGTTAAAGACCTTTCTAGTTCTGGACGTTTCAATTTGGTCTCGAGAATAATTTGCCAGGATGTAGTAGACCTGAGGTAAGAAGTCTGGAACGGATGGCTTCTATTTGCATGTGACGAGGCAACAATTCAAAACGATAAATCCTATTCCTTTTCCTCCTTGTCCATGGCTCTTCCTGGAGAGAGGCTCCACCACTTCCAAGGAAGGGATGTCAGGATGGGACAGATAAGGAAGCAACAGACGTTCAGTGTTTAGGGCTGGGAGGTACAGACGCAGGTGAAAGGTGGGAGATACTTGAAAGGGGATGAGGACAGAAGACAATATGCCTCCTCCTCTGAGTCCACACAGAGCCTCCAAGCAGCGGACAGAAGCGATCCAGGCTGGAGAAGAAGCAGGAGATGTGTGAGCATGTGGGGGGCTGCCACCCGAAGCGCCCCTGCACACGTCCTCCTCTGTGTGTGAAGGGATGGTGATAAAAATCCCCCTGGAAGATAGAAGAGCAGAGAGTTGACAGAAGCTCCACTGCCCTCCCTGGACACCAGCGCTGGCTGCGCAAGACTCAGAAGTGCCCCGCACCGTCATGGAGTGGGGGCCACACGGTGGGAAGTCATGGCAGCATGACTTGCTGGGCAGAAGAGGATTCCTGTGGCCCCAGTGTGGCACGGGGCAGCCCCTGAGTGTTTCTGTGGTCTTGAGTGGGTGGGCTGTGTGAGTTAGCCAGGAAAAAGGCTGAGGACCCAGAGTGGCAGGAGGGTTCATTGGCCAGGTGGTTGGGACCCATCAGAATGGCGAGTGTGGATTGTGCCTGCCCAGGTTAAGGAGAGGATGTGGCTGTATCTCACCAGAGCTCAATAGTGAGGAAGGCAGGTGTGGATCAGGAGAGCACCTTGGACCAGAAATGGTCCAATCATCAATTGCCCTATTCCAGATGGGAACCCAGTGGGATGAGGAGGCTTGTCCTGGGCAAGAGGCAGCAGAGGAAAGAAATGATTCCAGACAGAAGTGAACCCCCAGTCTCCATCCCCTGCAAGGATGTGCCTGTAAGACAGCCAAGTTTAATACCAACCACCAGGGGCAGGAGAAGATGATGGCTGACCAATATAAATGTGGCCAAGTTTTAAGCCTTGAGGGACCGGGAAATAGCTGAATTTGTTTGAGTTCGCTGGAAAGTGTTTATGTGATTTTTTTTCTTCTTTTCCTTTTTTGCATCAGGCAAAACAAGGGCTCCAAGATGACTTTCAATAGAGGATATTTCTGGTTATGGATCTGCTCTGTTTTCTGCTTCCTGCTGGTGAGTGATGACTAGCTTTGGAAGTCACATCTTGAAGATGGCAGAACAGTTATTAGCCTGGGTGAATTAAGTTATGGAGGGGAGCTTCCTTCCTCACACACCTGATATAGTTATCTGCTGTATCAGAGGAAATAGCTTCTACCTCTCATCTCCTTTGAGTCCTTGTGTATTTGGGGGTCTTTTTGTTATAGCAGCTAGCATTCCTCTAAATAACGAGATATGTTAGTGCGTTAAAGTGAACTCTGATCATTGACTCCCAGAAGGAAGGTTTTAGCTAGTGATCTTGGAAGTAGGCTTCCTCATCCCTAATCTCCTCCTTGTAAAAGTGCCCCCTGGGACACCTTTGTGCCTTGTGTGTATGTGTATATATATATATATATATATATATATATATATA